CCGATGGTCCCATGTCTTCCAGTAAATCAATTATTGGATTCATCTGTACGTTCTTCGAAACATCCGAAAATGCCGAATTCTCTTCCCATTCTTTTCGCTCATGTGTACATCTTGAAGTTGATTGAGAACACCGGGTATCATTCATATATCGTCTGTGGTGAGCATTGCTCTTGATGCAGGATGTGAAAAACTCAAATTTATAGTTTTTCGCATTTAACTCGCAGCTACTTGTGAGTAGTAATGAGGGATATCGATTTGAACCAACTATCTCTGAGACTTCACTTTGACGCACAATCCTCAGTTCTTCCAGTCAACCATATGCTCGAGTTTCACTCGTGTACGAGCTCGTCTGTAGTGCATATCCATCGACCCATCCGGACACATTGCGTGGAAGGCGTGTTACCACTGTGGCAACCAGCAGAACAAAATTGTTAGGTTTCGTCTTCAGTGATAATCAGTCAGTTCTAGAATATCCTTGAAAAATCTCCTAGGGACAACCCTGTGGTAATATTCCATGTACATGTTAACACCAGTTGATCGAATTGTCTAACATGGATTTTGACCTGCGCGTTAACTACGTATATCCCTTTACGTAGTCTACGGAAGCCGTCTGGGTAACGTCCTTGGGTGAGCCTGACCTTGATTGGCACAGTGGTTTCTTGCAGCTACGATCTATAAACATTAGCGTATACTGTAACTAGCCTCGGCGAATGGCTTGCAATTTTTTCAACCATCAAGCTATTAGGTCATAAGGCAAACTCAACATGCTCATGATCGGTCAAGCTGAAACACCACACATGTGTGCTTTTGTAAGATCATGTTCAAGCAGTCTCAGTCACTGTTACCGGTGTTTTTTATGCCGAGGTCTGAATCGTGTCACCGCGACCGAATGGGTGTGTTCACTTCCGTCCGACTCAATACCCTCGGGTTAAGCAGAGCGGAATGCTATTAGGCACGTCCCCGGGTCGTGGATAGGGGGATATATTCACCGAAGGTTAGCTGTGAATAAGTTGTGGCACACCGCAATAAATAAGCAGTCGCGAACAAACAGCGGCAGCACTTTCAGAGTGTGATGGGTTTGAGGCTAGTCACCTGTTTAAAAGCCACATAAGCCCAATGACGGTGTTGTAACAAGGGTCGTGACTGACCATTTAAACTAAAGTCATCAACTGCCTCAATTCCGAGGGGAGGGATTACTTCCTGCTG